GGCCCTGGCAGGAGCAAGGATCCCCAGCCAGGAGAAGGCCTCTGTGCATGTGCTGAGTGGGAGGGAAAGCAGAGAGCGTGTCGTGCCTCAGCGCTGGAGCGACAGGCACTGAGTGAGCAGGGCCAGCGCATCTCTGAGTGTGCCTCCTGACCGAGTGCCTCCTGGGGGGTGGAAATCTGCTGCTTCATGCAGGGAAAAGTTATGTGGACAAGCTGTGTTTTGGTGCCTGGCTTTGTGCAAAACATGGAAATCCTTTCCTGCCTGGTCTCTTTTCATTCTTTTTGCTGTCAGTCATTGCACATGTCAGCAGTGTCTGTGGAGGAGACAGCACAGCCAAGGCACAAGCCTACTGCAGCCTCCAGTGTGTGAAAAGCAACATTAGCTTAAAGATTTTCACATGAGAACTGCTGGTGATTGACAGGACATACAGTGCAGTCGTTAAAACCAGAAACATGTGTCTGCTCTGGAACCCCTTGCTGGCAGCCAGCATTAAAGAGGCTGTAACAAACTGTATTACTGGTGCAAACGTGAGCAAGCATTGGGTTTGTGCTGGAAGCCTTGTTTCTGCAGCACGGTTCAGCTCGCTTCAGCAGTCAGTGAGAATAGAACTTGCGCAGCGTGCTTAGAGTAGGTTCGTCCAGCCTGGTGCAGCACTCGGTGTGCTCTTATTTGCTTCCCTCTGAGTTTGGATGCGGATGACAAGGTGCAGCCCAGCAGACTCCAACCAAGCAGGTGTAATGCAGGTTTTTCTGCTGGATTTTAGTGTGCTGCCATCATTGCTGCACTTGAAACAGCTGGCTCTGGTGCACTGCAAGCTGCTGTCACGTTAGCTCGTGTCAGATGCCAGCCATTTACAGTGTGCGCCATCGCAGCATGACTTAAGTTGGCAACACAGAGTCAGTCACATGCCAGCAGCCTACTGTAAGGGTGGGGGGGCGTGTGGGAAGAAGGGGGGAGAAGGTACTTGTATAAAATCTTTTAATGATTTATTTTTAATATCCATTTTTAAAGCCTTGGGAAGTGCAGTCCATATGCTTTTCCCTCCTGGCTGTAGTTGGCAAAGCAGCTGACGAATATGGTCCTTCAGACTCCTTCCATTTTGCGAGGAGCCAGAAAATACGGCTATATTTAGCATGTTACCAAGGCCAGCAGCAGAGTCTGTTGCTGGGTGGTGATTCCCTGGCTGCAGGCTTGCGTGCCACCCAGGACAGGGTGGGAATGCGGCCTCCCTGGGGTCAGTACTCATGCTAAATTAACAGCAACACACTCCTCCGGTTACAGCAGGATGGCTACACTGGTCCCGGCAGGCTCAGCGCGCCGCTCGCTGACGCAGGTCTGTCTCTGAGCACCGTGCCCCTGCCCGACACGTGCAGCGACCCTCTCCAGGTGCTAGGATGGTGCTTTCTGGTGCAGCGCTCAGCTTGGAGAGTGTCTCAGCAGGGACTGTCCTGTGCCCTGTGCTGAGCGCTGGGTGTGCTGGGGCCACAGCTAGTCACTGCCGCAGAAATGCGCTTTTTAGTGTAGAGAAGCTTATCTGGAACTTTGGGGGCTGACTCCTGATGTGTGTTCTCATACTGTATTCCTAAGCCACCCAGGGGTAAAATGGAGTTGTCCTTATTTGTCCCCAGCCCAGTATCCGCACAGCAGATTTGCTACCAGTTCCCTGTTGTTTTCCATGCTGTGTTGCAGCTGCTACTGAGACGTAAGTAATGGCAGTTCCTTTGTCCTTCTGGCAGCTTTCAGAGCTGAAGTTGGTCTTGAAGAGTGCATGTGTTGGTGAGAAGTACCGATAACTGTGAGTGGCATGATGGAACTGTAGAAGAAGGGATCACCCCTACCAGTGTTGAAGTTCAGAGGATACTAGAGGTGCCCATCCCTTTAGAGAGAGACAGCTTAAAAGTTGGGGTTCATAGCTGGATTTCTAAACTGGGAATGTTTTGTGTCGCTCAGTCACATCCTCAGTTCCTAAAATTCATTGTCTAAGAGATGAAGAACCTGCTGTGGTGTTGGAGACGGCAGCCTGACTCAGCTGTAGCTTCTCACCCGTCCTGCTGCATGAATCCGAGTGCAGCGGTGGTTCGTTGAGTCTTGCTGGAGCGCTGGAAGGCCTGACTGACAGCCGTGCTGCACTCCGCAGCCCTCGCTCTGCAGCGGCGTCTGCGCAGCTCTCGGTTCCTTGCAAATACGCGTCCTTGCTGAAACCAGCAGCGCTCTGTGGGCACTGGTTTCTGCTCACAGCTCTGCAGGATCAAGGCCTCATGCTGTATGGGGGTTTTTTTAATTGGTAGTAAAAACGTGCTGTTTATAGAACCCCCTGTCGGAATTAAACAAACTCTGTTTTGAGAAAAAAGTAGAACAGAGCTTCACACCAAGCTGGGGTGGCTGGTATCAATGACATGCAAAATTTCAGTTGGAATAGCGAAGTCCTTTTCAAGTTGAAGAAGGCCCTGTAAGTATTGTTTACGAAGAATAGTAGCTCTTTTTGCATCTTCTCCATTCCTGCGGTGTAGAAACATTTACACAGATTTATTCCAAATTTGGTAGAAGTCAGTTCTTTCCCAACCCAAAGCACTTGTGCCAAGTTTCAACCAGGAGGAATTTCTAAGGCTGATGTGTAAGCCCTCGAAGGTTGGAGCCTAGAATAGAGCAGCTGCCTGGCCATCGAGTGCCCGCTGCTCTGCGGGCTCTGCTCCTGGTCTGCAGCCAGCTGAGCAGCCCTATAGAAGCTGTGGAGACGGGATGCTGGCTGCAGATGTGCTCTGAGCCTGAATGCTGGATGCTTCTTGGGTCCCAGGTGAGGGCCAGGGCTGTGGAGGGACCTGGTCCCATGCAGCTGGAAAGATCCTGTGAGAAGGATGACCCAGACCTACCTGGTGTTGGTGCGTCTCCTTCTGCTTCTGGACTAATGCAGTTATTGACCTTGTAGCAGTGCTGGGCTGCCTGAGCACCAGCCAGCTGCGTGGTGCCATTTTACCCTCGCTTTACACAGATGTAAGAAAGTGTCTGGTGATGAAGATTCATGTCCTCGGGGGCCTGTGAGCAATAAACTCGCTGCTGGGGATCTGAGGCTGTTGGATTGCTGCGAAGCCAAAACAATAGCATTAAAAAGCCTCTTTCTTTTTGAGTTGGGTTGTTGGGAGCCACTGGGGCTCTTCTAGGAACTGGGCAGAGTTTCAGTCTGCAAAGGCAGGCGGCTGAAGTTTGGGAGGGTTTGTTTCCTGTCCCAGCGTGTTTAGCCCATCGCTTCTTACATTTAATTATTTGCCTCTAAACAACAGCAGGGAGCCAGCAGTATTGTTTAACCCTCTGATGCCCTTGGAGCAGGTAAGAGAGAAGCCTGTTTCTCACAGCACTCCATCGTACAGCCCCTTCCATGCTGCAGATGCGTTCTGCAGCCCTTTACCCAGCGAAGCCATTACCTGTGCCAGGAAGGTGGGCACAAAGCTTGCAGATCGGAGGCTGTTCTCCAGTGACCTGCCCCTCTCTCAGCATGCTGAGGAGCCTGGCTGGGGTTCAACAGCAGCCCCTGCAGCGGGTCACGGTGCTGGCTTTGTGCGGTGGTACCCAGACTGTCCAGTGATTTCACCTGGACATTCCTACAGGCAGAGACAGGTCTTAAAAAATCCCCAGGGGAGCATCCTGGATGCAGGCAGGGACCCATCCCCGGGGTTTTCCACCAGTCTGGGTGCTGGGTGCAGTGGTGTGTAACGGGTGTACCCATGTGGACCTGGTTATGGGGTTACGGCTCTGCTGCGTGTGATCCTGCGGGCAGGAGCAGGTGAGTGGGGTCACCCCATGTGCCCTTTTTTTGAAAGCAAACTTGGTTATATTGGGCCTGTGAACTCCGCCAGGGACAGGCTGGGTGGTGGTTGGTCCTGCGCCTTTGCTGGCTGCAGGAACAATTGCTAGTTATCTGAGAGATACAGCTCCATGGTCCCCAGGCCTGGCCTTGTTTTATTGGGCTCTGAATAGCTACAGAAGAATTGCTTCCTCCAAAAAAAAATCACTATAAGTTATTTATAAAATTTATGCATAAAGTTGCAAAAAGTGTTTCCTGTATTTTCTATGCATCTCTGTCCTGAGGAGGAAACACACAGAGAAAGAAGGGGAAAAAACCCTATTTTTCAAGAATTATTTCATCTTAATGACGAAATCTGTTACTAGTTTTCTGTGTTCAGTGGACTATTGTTATTTATCTCCCTCTGTCTACCTGCAGACGCTATTAAAGCAAGGCATGGTTTATAGGTGTTTTTTAAAAGTGATGGTGTCAGTTGATTGGAGGTGATCTGTAACATTAGTGATGCTTTGCTTTTTAGGAGCCACGGGCTTCCCTGGTGCATATGTTTATGGGGAAAAGGGGGAAGCAGTGGTGCAACATACTGTGGCTTTTAAGAAGTGAAAGCATGAAGGGAAAATTATTTCAGTTCTTCCTTCTGTGGCTACGCATTCTCAGCATCTCGGTACACGCAGGTTGAAGATCAGAGGTGCTGCGTTACGGAGCTGTCCTCTTCGTGTTTTACCCAGCGAAGCCGCGGAAGTGGTGGAGACAGTTTTGTTTCTCGGTGTCTGGCTGTCAGGGCCAGTTAATTAAGTTGTCTGGTGTTGGGAGGGAGGGGAAAAACAACCCACGCAAGAAAATGGGAAAATTTTGTTGTTGTTTCTGGAACTGTTGCCACTAGCTTCTGAAAAATATTGGTGTTTGTGTTACTCTTTTTTTTCTTCTTCTTCTTTGCAACAATCATTTTAACATCAGGAAGCCTAACTTTGGGTTTAGCCTGATAGTATTTGGTAAGTGTTACTGTGGGAGAAGTCGTGTTGCTCTTCTCTTCACCTGAGTATTGAACTGCTATATGAAAATCACAAAAGAGACACGGTAGCTACCAAACTGCCTCTGCCTACATGGTTGTGTTGTTCCAATAACCGAAACAATCCTTAATTAAATTTCCCTGGCTGCCCTGAGTGTTACATTCACTGAAATGCTGTTTCATTATGTTTTTTAGGGCCGGTGTACCCGAGAGAACTGCAAATATCTCCACCCTCCCCCACACTTAAAAACACAGCTTGAAATAAATGGACGCAACAACCTGATCCAGCAGAAGACAGCCGCAGCCATGTTTGCTCAGCAAATGCAGTTCATGCTACCAGGCGCGCAGCTACAGCCAATTGTAAGTTACAGCAGTGAGTTGGGTTCACGCTGCTCCACGTTTCTTTCCTGTTCGCTTTCGGAGGCCCCAGCCCCGTGCTTTGGCTTACGTGGTTGTTCGTGCTGCACAAAGTCGGGCAGCATCTTCAGAGGGATGGCTGATGCTACCTCTGCATCTTCTTGCAAGCTGTGGCTCCCCTTTCCTCTGAAGTAAGGGGCTGCGAGGCTCAGGGCATCATGTGGAAGGTCTTGGCACCAGGTGGATTTTTGGCGAGGTGATTCATGTGCATCCCGGAAGTCCCGAGTAGCTCGATTCCAACGGATCCTACTTCAGATAGCTGTTTTACACGGGGGTGAGGATGCTGGGGTTCTTCCATGATGTGTGGCAAGAGGCCAGCTGACTCCCTTGGACTAGATGCGTTGGTGGGCTAGAATTGGGGAAGATGAATCTTGTCCAGACCGTAAGACTCTTACGCATGGAATGAAGACCCCTTTCATTGCCATTGTCCCAGCAGAGAGTTGCGCTAATGTCACAGCCCTGTCACTTGGTTTTCACAGTAATGCTGTTTATTCTAACAGTGGGAAAGATGCACTTCTCTTCAGGTGGGGAGGAAAGCCTGTGGGAGATGGGTGTTTGCAGAGCAGGTACTTCAGAGAAGCCTTCACTGCCTGTGCTGCTGTAGCCTGTCAGTTAAAACAGGTTTTCAGGCTGGGGAACTCTGTTACACCAGGGAGAAGGACGGCTTGTGTCTGCTCGTTGGTGTATCTGGGAGGAAGTCACATTTGTCGGCTGGGTTTGAGTCTGTCACTATGTGTATCTTAAGAAATGTCAGAGGTCTTGAAGCAGCTCTTTGGTGCTGACATAAATAAGCTGCACATTTTTAACGGAGAGTCTAATTAGGAATTCTTTGTTTAAAGTCAGGGCTGAATGTCTTCCTGGGGCAACGTGCACTTGCTGTGCAGTTGCTGGGGGAGATTCCTCGTGCTGTGTCACATGGGAGGTCTGGCTGGACCCCTGGGACAGGCTCTTTCAGTTTGAAGATGTGTGAGTCTGCGAGCCAGCCTGCTCTTGGGCTCCTGGTATCCCACCTACGGCGCCTGACTTCTGTGCCCACACGAGGCTTCAGGCTCAGCATCTGTCACCCCGGCTTTGAAAAGCTCGGGCATCTCTGCTGTATCATCACAAGAGACCAGGGAAGGGTTCTTCCTTGTTGGAGGCTGTTTGGTGCAAGAGCCGTGTTTCAGCAGGGACAGCTGGCCAGCGTCCCTTCGTGATGGTGCTCTGCCACCACACCGGGGCATTTCCCCAGTCTGGCAGGTTCCTCCTGTCTTGCGAAGGCTTTCCCACATTTGCCGTCGCTTTGGTCATCCTGTGTGCATTAGCAGCTTTGTCTTCACCCTGCTGTGTAACCTAGGATAATGCTGTTTATTATGCCCATTTTGAAGATGGAAGAGTGAGGCAGAAGAGAAAAATGGGCCATGGAAAAAGTCTTTAATTGCTCTGCGCCTTAAGCTCTAACCCACTGTAATCTTTGTACCTCTTTTAGTGGAGTTCAAAAGTACGTGCACATCAGAAGGAAATCCTGAATTCCCACAAAATGGTAGCACTGGCTTCCTAGCCCTGTACCAAAAGCAAACCTTTCCTGTTTGGCGTTTTCCTCTGTGGGGAATTCACAGTGGACACTCTTTGGCTGGCTATTCAAAACACCTTTGGGATTTCCTCTTTGGAAAGTTCCCATCTTCCCATTTTGCAATCTTGCAGGTCCAGTTCACTCCTGCAATTTGACTCTTGCCTTTTAAATTGCCTCTGAAACTGAATCTGTCGGCTTGTCTGGTTAGTGCTCTCATTTCAGAGGTAACCTTATCTGATGAGAAAGGTCCCTGGTTTCTAAATTGTGCCATGAGGGAGACATGGGCAAAGAAGAAAAATAAAAATTTGTTCCACAGTGACTGCTCCCTTCCCGCTTTCCCACACTTTGCTCTGAG